AGTACACAATTTTATGTATAAATAATACTAAGTACTAGGATTAATTTTAACTAATGTATTAGAACATAGTTCAGTTTATTAACTATTATAGTTATTTTTAGTAAAAAAACATATCAATTATGTATGTACGCAATACGAATAAATAGGGATGTTGAAAATGGAGAAATATAATCAATATTTCGGATATACTTCTAGAAACCTTTTTCAAAAAATAACTCTGACTCGAATTTGGAAATATATCAGTTGTGATACGATTTTCAATGTTGAATATTTTGTATCAATATATCTGATCCAAACGTATAGTCGATGTATAGAAAAAAAATATGTCGATACGTTTTGGCATCCCTAATAAAAAAACATTCAAAATTCAGTTTCAACTTCCACATTTTTATTATAAGAATGGCATAGTCTTGCCAACTTAGGGCTTTTGGAAATATTCATCTTTGGCTTTTAAGGGTCCATAAAAGTTTAAAACCATTTTTAGGGCCATAGATAATGTTATTATTTCATGTATCACTCACATTTTGCCTGACCAAAAGGAATATCAAAAAGCAAAATACAATTAAAATTATTATAATTTATATTAATAATTAAAATTACCGAATGTAATTAATGTTTTAGTTAATATTAAGTTACTTTGTTAATAATTTCAACTATTTGAAATGAAAAGTAATTAAAACTATGTTATATTCTATTTAACTTTACAAAACGTGATAGTCATTTAAACAATCTCTTTAAATACAACACAGGATTTTTTTGGCGCTTTTGAAAGTTATACTTAGGGTTATTTTGGGGAGTTTCATCGTATCATCTTCATTTTAGGGGAATTTTTTTCTAGTTGGTAACACTAAATACTGGTATGGCAACTGGCAACAAAACTTCGTATATCCGTTCTGTTCGCTTCGCCGATTCAAAATGATAAAATATATTGATACTACTAGTCTAAAATATAAATATCATTGGTATTATATTAAAATAGACACCTATAATTTCGGCATCCATTAAAATTTTAATTAATATTAGTATTTATTGACGTAATATCTTCGTTAAGGCCTCTTACAGTAAGTAATTATTGAAATGTTTTTAAAGACAACACTGCTGCTGTGTAGGTATACTTCACAATCACATGAGAAGAAGAACGCTTCGATGAAGTGGATAACGGGTTGATCAAACCTGTTCGGGTAAACATATTTGAAGTTTCTTGTATCTTAAATAATGCTTTTAAAGCACTAAGCTAATTTTTTCTTTTGAGTTATTTATAGCTAGTACTTTGAAGTTTGAACTTTTTATTGTGGCCAGTTCTTGGAATACGAATTCCACTGAATCTGTTTTGTTCGGTGGTATAATGCATTAATTCCAGTCGCATTTAAAACATTTAATGGGTAATAGGTGAACGGGTCTATCCAGGTCTATGTTTCTTTACTTGAAATCGGTCATCGTTCAATATTTCGCTCCTTTAGATGATTTGTATTCGAATCATATACGGTTTAACTAACCATACTTCTTAAACAAAACCAAATAATTAACTTTATGTGGAATTTTATAAAATCAAGCCTTGTTTATTAAGAAGGTACTATTCTAAATCAAAAAGTTTTGTATGTCAAAATAAATCTAATTTTTATTTTCAAATTTAAAATAATATGAAATAAAATTGTCCTTGAAACCAAAATAGTATAAGATCCATTCAATGGTATTTTAAGTACCTGCTATTAAATCTTCTACTTCTAGTACTTATTATAGTTTAATAGTACAGTAAATTTTTGTTATACCCAAAAATTTAATAACTCTTGCTAGATCAAATTTCCAAACTATTTTTCAGATGATGAAAGAAATATGAAAACAATTCCACATTGCACATATAGACTGAAAATGGTTTTTTTACCTAAGCCATACTCTGTTAATTATTTGGTGGTTTGAAATCTGTTAATAGAAATAACAAAAATATTTCATTTCTAAGACTTGTTAAATATTTGTTTTTTATATTTGTTAAATATTTTTTGGAGTATGTAAATGTTATTCGTACAGAATATTTTTGTTTTAATAAGTTGTTATCATTTAAAAGGACCACAAAAAAGATTGGCCATTACAAAGTGAATTATAAATTTTTACATAAACTGTAAAATATATAATTCACTTTGCAAACATTTTACACTTCATCCTTTTTTCCAGCTGTAAATAAAAATAGGTAAATTTTTAAAGTTCATTTTATTTTCAATAACATAAAAATGTTATGTTTTTTTTTTTCATTTTATACATTTCAAAATGAATTTCAGTGGGTATGATCTGATTACTAAAATGTTCACATTACTTTCAAAAGTTTATAACTACAGTACAGTTTGGCTTTGCATGAACTGAGAGTCATGGTCTGCTTGTCACCTTATTTAGTATTTCTTTTTTCACTTATTTCCAAATGCTGTATCTTACTTCTGTACGATCAAAAATCTACTATACTCCACAGCTGTTCATTATATTATTCAACAAAATATATTGTGATAATTTACTTGTTTGGATGGACCCCTTAACTCGATTTTTGTATTCAGTATTGAATGTGATATGCTATAAATTTTTTATGATATTTTCTTCCATTTTATATAAACAAAAATAAACCATTTACCTAATTAGGTAAAATTTTAAAAAATTACTATTTGGTCTTACAAAAATCGTTATGATGATCCATCCAATAGCAATATTAACTACAATAAATAGAACTAGCTAACTGGAATTGAAGGTCCCTTAAAAGTATGTAATTTATATCAAAAGCCATGATCAATCCATGATTTCCTATATATCCTACGCGATTTAACCGACTGAGTTCTTGAAGAAATTTCCGATCAGTTCGAAAAATTGACCACGGCTTTTTATAACACTAATTTATTGTTTTCATAATAGTCGACTAACTCTAAAGAGGCGTCCATATTCATAGCAGAAGAAAAATGCGCAAAATCACCAAATTTACATAATTAATATTGAAATTATTTGACAGTTTACATATAATCTAATCGATAATTAATAAACTGTTTCAAACTTCTCATTAATAAATTACCACAGAAAAATTTTAGTCTAAAATGAATTATGGTTTGGTGATTGACGATTCGATTTTAACGGGAACTTAATTCCATTTAGAATTTCCACGATCGTTGACAATCTTTCGCTGCACCTTATTTTTCTGTTTTATAGACAGATATATTTAAGAAGTTAATTTACTTTCTTATGTCAGATCCTCGTAGCGCGGTGAGACATGAAATAGAACCAAACATTTGAAAATACGTGAAACAAGTTTTCGCCGTTTCAATGCTTGTCGTACTTTAATATACTTAAATTGTGAAAAAATTAAAAATTAGGATTTTTATTAAAATGTAAATATCCTTGTTATCGGTTTTCTTAAAAAGGGCAGCGGCGTAATAGATAATTATTATTGTACTAAAATTTTGATGAGCAAAAATTTGAAACATATCTGTGAACAACGGAGATACAAATGTGTGGTTTCGGCGCGAAAATGTGACATTTTTTTAATTTGTCATTTTAAATGACATAATACTTATTGCTTTTCTTTGTTTACTTTCTTGTAACGTTGTATAATTATAAGAAATAAGTAGACGGATTATTTTATTCCAAAACTAATTTAAAATTTAGTAATTTATTATTTAGTTGTGTTATAAATGTGTATCCAATGATATTTTATACTATAGATATGTTGCTAAAGCGCCCGGAGTGAAGCCACGGAATCGTCCCTATTGAAAAAGTTGGGCAAATAAGTTTCATTTTGGGAGGAGAAAGACTCTTTTTTCTTATTAATTTAATTACGCTATCCTTTTTATACCATTCGAACGAAACGTGTGAATGTTTGCTGTCAGTGTCACTGTTTGGAAATAGGAATACTTTCGACCGGTGATACATGCGTACAACATATCTTTACTATAAAATGTCGTTGTATGAATCATAATATCATTTAAATATACGTCTAATGTGCTGTTGAATTTACTTTCCTGATTTGTATGTGAAAGAAAATAAGGGCATAAAGCTAAATTTATATATGCTCATTTTATACTTTCTTGTATAATTTACAGTTTAAAATATTGAGAAAAAGAAAGATAGGGATGTGCGTAAATTATAACATAAATATATTTCCAGACAAATATTTTTTTACGTACTATAAAAATAAAATTTTTCAAACATCACTTTTGCGCGCCGAGACGTTTGAGATATTGTTATATGGTATTTGTATGTACATGTAAAACCATGTGTAGAATTTTAATTTAGTAATACTACACTAAAACTGGCCGTCATATAAGTATCTGCCATGTTCTCCTAAATATAACTAGGTAATATAATATTCTTAACTAGACTCATCATATTTACAAATAATACAGTTCATTATTCATTTTTATAGAAATTAAAATATATTTCTATCATTCTTCGATTCACATAACGCAAAATAATTTAACAGAGTTCATTTTTGCACTCACATTTACAATATAGTTCAGTAACTTATTTGTTACCGTTTATTTGTTGATTTGGAACAACACATTTAGATTATATCACCCAATAAACGAGTAGCGCTATACTCACGAATCTTATCGTACCTTACTTATTTAAAAATGCAGAATATGTGATAACGTCAAGGAATATATTACAATGAACGGCAATTGAACATTATAGTCCGCTCGCATCAAATAGGAACTATAAAATTCACAATGCCTGCGCGGGAGTGGCCAGGGCTAGACTATATGTACAGGCCGCGGCCACCCTCGCTAGCACTACCAAACAACTAGCACAAATAAAACTCTTTATATACAACCCGGTAGACTATTCACAAAGAAAGGACACCAAAAAGAACTCTAAATCGATTATTAAGTATTTTATCGAATTTATAAAGAAGTCGAATTAACATTTAGTGTAAATTTGTGTTACAGTTTATGCTAGAGTTTAGAATATAGGGAGCTGAGTGGCGCCACCGTAGCGGCAGTGCGAGGAACTATACATGCACAACACCGCGATGTATGGCCGGCGCGGCGCTCGCTTCAATACTTTATCTATACAAACCTATTTATAGTACTCCGGCGCCGTTGTTTCGACAATCGGCGCCCCCTTTCGGGAGGGCGTTCGACGTCGCAACAATGATAGTTAGCATGGCCCTCGCAAAGTTAGAGATTCTGCCACCGGCTACCGTTGCGACGCCCAACGCCACCACGAACGGAGAAGGAACTAAAATCTAGTATCACAATATCGGGCTTCACAGCAGCTCGAACAGTTGCATCGACGCACTACGTGCACAAACGAACGAACGTCGGAACACTAGCGACTGACAGTGTTGCCGTCGCTACGGCGCGTTACCACCACGGCACCGGAAGGCTCCGGATAGTGGAGGTACACACCGAGCGGTTCGTCGGTTCGCACAGTTTGATTCCAACGGCAGTGGTGCCGGGAGCTCACTCGAACAGCGCCAGCAAGTCGTCGGAAGAGGGCGCTCGAGGTGGATGCGAGCCCGCCGAAGACGAAGAGGACGGCGGCGTCGCCAGCAGCTCACCCAGTGCCGGCGCGTCCAAGTACGACAGCAACTCCATCGGGTCCACGTTCGTTTCAGGGAGCAACTGTAATATGGAGATCGAATCAATAATACCACAAGAAGAAGGAAAGAAAGAATATTGTGTCGTAGACCCTTAACGTTTGTTCTCAGTATAACGATATGAACAAGTGGCATATTTATATTTTGCCGCAAAGCTATATTTTGAAATTCGATTTCAATTGAATTTACTTTTGTACTTGAATTTGACTTTGAGCAAGTAATAATTTGAATTTTTTGTATGACACCGGAAAAAAATGTCAATTCTATCTTCTGTATAAGAAAGTTGATTAAGTATTTGTTAATTGTTATTGATAGTTGGACAAATTTATCCCTTGACGGTTACAAACTTTATGCATATATTTTACAGGAGGTTCCTTTTTCCATAGAGTTCTAGATAGATACATTCGAAAAGGGAAACATTAAAACAATTTACAAAATAAGTGATCACTTCTCGACACCGTTCGTTCACTTACTTCAAGTATAAAAATCAAATAAGGAAGCGTTAATGTGGAACTACGCTTGATATTTATAAAAATAAATTGAAGTGAAAAATATGGAAAACAATTTTTATGGCACGTTAACAACGCGCGTACATTTTCCGCATGCGACATTCATTATTGACGTTGTTTTGTGACGATTTAAGCTTATTTAGCAACCATTAATTATTTACAAGAAGTTCATTGTCTTTGCGACTTCTTTTCTATATCGACATTGTATAGTTCCGTCTACATACAAATCTTAGAAATATTTTTACAGAATTTCATTGAAGTTCACATTTCGATTTTAATCGCTTGACAAGTGATTTCAAGTGCGTGTTTAAGATTCATTCTGAAAAATTAAGTTGTAGTATAACCAACGAATTAACAAAAATAGATCCATCTAATCTCATTTCACATTGTAATGATAAATATATACTGTTTTTCCTTTACGTACATGTTTTTAAACAAATAATATTTGTTTTTATTATTTTCGTAGTCCTCTTAATAAGTGGTGTAAGATCTCTATTTAAGGTTTCTCTCTTTATTTAAATGAGGTGCGCGGGCCATGGTCACTCACGTTGAGGTTGTCGGTGCCTTCGCCGTCGATGACCGCGGCGGGGTCGAAGTTGAGGTCGGCGGGTATGTCGACCTCGCTGAGCGGGTGGCCGACAGAGGGCGGGCCCGGCGTGTGGCTCGAGCCGGGCGTGTGCGCGCCGCCGCCGCCCGGCGTGTGCGCCGAGCCCGGCGTGTGCGGCGTGTGGGGCGTGTGCGGCATCTGGGGGCGCAGGCAACACGCGGCGTGCTGTACTCCGAGTAAGGTGGGTGGATAGGGCGTCGGCGGTGTGCGGAAGCGTTACAACGGCCCTGCCGATATGCGCCAGGGGTGGCACATCGTAGCGGTTTTAGTCGGTGCGAATCAGATATATGCTGTCCTTGCCACAGTGAGAGGTATGCATAGACGTTAGGGAGTAGAGGGACAAAAAGGCTGAGGGGGTGCGAGACTGGAACGCGCCTATACGGGTCCTGGCATTACGGTTCGTGTATTGTCAAGCGTTGATTCGTTTAGTTTTTCTCCAATAGACAGTTATGGCGTTTTCTCAGTTGATACAGTACTGCTATTTGATTATGCGAACTTAGTTTTTCTGTATATTAGGAATAAAATTACTAAAATTATTCAAACGCATGAGACGTGTTGACATGTTGCGTATATGATTCACTTTCTTTTCTGAACACTTCGTAAAGTTTTTTTAATAGGATATGAGTGATATTTGTTATAAAAATTGTGCAACGCTCATGTTTTGTAAACCTATAGCGTAGTTCGGACAACGGCAAATTCTTCTGAATGTTCTTAGTAAAAATAAATTTACGTAATTCGCAACTAGGTTTCTGCAGCTTACCTGTTCGTTGAGGCTCTTCTCCATTGCGTTGAGCGGGTCCAGGGAGTTGACGCTCTCGTTGAGATGCGACAAGGGCCCATTGCCGGCGAACTCGTTGCTGGCGGGGCCGTTGGTCATGCCGAAGTCGTAGTTCTGGCTGGCGGCCGGGTTGCGGTTTTGTGCGCTTTGGTTATAGGCGGAGATCATGGAGCCGCTGGCGATGGTGTTCATGTCCGGGGGCAGGTAGGGTGAGAGCGCCTGGTTCATGTCCCAGTTGTTCATCGTGGGCATGTTCATCGATCCGGGGGAGACTGCTTTGCTACGCTTCCCGGAGCTGTTGTCGTTACTGTCGTCTTCTTGCTAGAATTGCGAATAGCATATTGACGATTACACGCCGATTTGGTAACCGTGGGACTTCCACAGCTCAGTTACGGTCTTGCACGACCCCATCTAATAAACTAACGAAATAACGATAATTATCGAAGCTATGATTGTAAGACATTTTACCTTAATTCCTGGGTTAGCTGGGCTTTTAGCTGCTTTCCAATTAGCCCCACTATCGATGGTTACTTCGTCTACATCCGAGGTGTTTAGCGTGTTGAGAATACCCCACATGTACTGATCGACTTCTAATCCCTCTAATTGAGCCGGTTTACTGAAAGTTAAATAACGTTATAGTATTGTGTAAACAAGCTAATAATACTCTCAATTATTTAATTATAAAGCAAGTTGTCTTGCGATAACTTAAATAACAAGCTAAGTGACTTGAGATAACGAGCTAAGTGCCTAGGCCCTTTATATTAAAGAAAAGTTTTATAATTATCAAAAACTGATTGATGAGAATATTAGGTAGGTTACAATACTGTCAAAAGCATACTCACTTGCACACCGGACACCTCCATGAGCCCCTTTCGCAATTCAGTTGCAAATAAGACTCCAGGTCGAAGCACTGTATGTGTTTGCACTCGTGGCCGCGGGCGGGCAGGACGATCTTCTTAAAGGTGATGGGGCACTTTAGCGAGACTTTGAGGGCGGTCTGCTCCACGCTGTCCCTGTCGTTGCCCGTGTTTGAGCCATTGTTGGCCGGCGACTGGCTGAAGTTCATCTTGATCTTAGCGATGCAGTGGTCCGCCGTGAGCAACCGCTTCTTCAGCAACCCCTGGAGAACGCTGCGCACGCTCGGCCGGTGCACCAGTTGCAACACGAACAGGTGCGACTGGAATATTAGAATAATTAGTTTCAATCACCTTTAGGTCAAATGGTCGATTCAAATTTTATAGGAGTCGTTTGTCTATATGAGCCGTGATAGCTCTTTGTCCGGGCGCGCCCTTTTAATTCAATGTACTCGAGTAATCTGAGTTCGATTCCCGGTGTAGGCACCAATGAAATCGTTAATTTTAAGTGCTAACTTATGACGTGCTCTGCGGTGAAATAAAATATGGTGAAGAAACCTGCATATTTTCGAAATAACAAAACAAATATTTCGAAGACATGTGAAGTCCACCTGTCCGCAGAGGGGTCGCGTGGTGGACTTTGCCCTAATACCCAGAGGAGGTGTTTGCCCAGCTGTGGGACTAGGCAGACTTTCCTCTTTTACTTTGGTCTTTGTTCGAAAATGTGGAGGCCAGATGTTTGGCTACTCACGCAACAGCAGGCGGAGACGGTGATCTGTATCGTATTCCTCCCCGGCTGACAAACTTCTTTCAGGTACAGTGGTTTGTGTGACGTTTTGTTCTCGCCTCTATCTATGACTAATGGCGTTGCGTTGACCGAAACCTGAACACTCGCCGGCCAGTTCGTGTTCATCTGCCTATCCTCGTGGTGGAAGCATTTAAGCTGTAATTCGAGGTCCGATCTGTGGACAAATATTCCATTCGTTGTAAGGAAACCTTGCGGAGCTTTGGAAATTTTACTTAATAGAACCAATGCTGAAAATTACCTCCAAATCAAAGTTGAGTGGACCGTGGGTTTTAATTGGAATACATGATTGCTAACTGCTAAATTATGCTCTAATCTAAATGGTGGTAAGATAATACCATCTCTTACAGGGAATGTTAACCGGAGCTCGTCATCTGGAAACAAAGAAAATAGTTTAGTTTCTAAAATGTTAACACGACATTCTTTGACGTTGTTTCGGATCAAGTTATCTTACTTTGCATGCCCATCGGTGGTTTGAGCTCGTTGAAGTGGGGTTTAACGTCAGCATTAGGGCTGATGTATGGGGGCATACTGCTAGCTGGCGTCAAAGGCGGCGTTGGGTTTCCGGGCACAGGACTGTGCTGATAGGTCATGCTCGTCCGCATAGCAACTTCCTGCGCAAACTGCCCGCTGTACTGCCCCCCGTATTGACCATTGCCCGCCTGATGCTGTGGGAACTGGTTTGGCACGCCACCGTTGAAATATTGCCCCTGGTTGGAATAAGGCGGCGTCGTTTGCCTCATGCTGCCGCGCATTGCGGCGCCGAAGTTGCCAGTGGGCCCTAACGGCTGCTGAGGTGGATATTGTGACTGAAATCCCGGTCTTCCCCCGTAACCGGAGGGGTACTGTGCAGGCCCGAAGCCCGGTTGAGCGCCCATGTACTGGGACTTGCGTTGCCCCATCAACATCGTCCCGGTGGGGTAAGGTGTGTGCCGCCTCTGATAGTTCTGTCCCATCTTGCCCGTGCTGGGCATTTGACCGGGGCCCATTTGCGACGGCATCATGTTCGCGTGCATGCCCATGTTGGCCATTTGCGCCATCGGGCTCATGCCGTTCATTGCGGCGTTGCCCATCTGACCCATGCCTGTCATTCCGTTCATAGTGCCGTTGCCCCCCATTCCCATGCCGCTCATAGCCGGGTTGTGGCTCCGCTGTTGCCCGTAGCCGTTCATCGCGCCGTACTGGGGATTGCCCATCGTCATGTTGTTCTGCATCTGCGAACAAGGCCATTTAACTGTCAGCAAAGGGGGGCCGGTCCGATTTTTCGGGTAACACCTAAGCCCACAGTAAGGCAGCCATTCGTGGTAGTAGGGTCGGGGTACCTGCGTGAAGGGCTGCGAGTCCTGCATCGCGGCCGTGGTGGCCGCGGCGACCATCGCGGCGGTGGCGCCGAACTGCGAGTTCTCGCCGCCGCCGCTCATCGCGCCCGAACCGCCCACGCACCCATAGCCGCTGCAAACGACAAATATACATTGGGAAGCCGTTCTCTGTCTTTCATGATCACATCCAAACAATAAAAAACCACGAGTACCGCACGGACTCACGCCTTCAATAAGATATCTTATCTTTCGGGGATACACATCTGGTTTGTTAAACAACGCATGATGAATCCAAACACTTAAAAAGATTTCCTTTTTCGTAGTTATTACGTGCGGATTCCAAGTAAAGATCTTTTCATCGGCGATAATTTTATTATTATTAGATTATCGTCACAAAGAATCAAATACAAATACGTAACCGTTTACGGCCGTAGTACCTTGAATTATTAAGCGGTTTACGCAAACAACTGTATTTTAAATATTGTTGTATATTAAAATGTGAAATCAGTACGGCAATTTTATTTCATTCGCGATACGAGTAGTTTCTATTCTATTGCAAATGGCCTTGCGGAGTCGAACATTTTACATTCCACACGTTAACGCTTCGATTATTAATAAACACGGACTCAATATTCAACCCAAATTCTATTGACGCAAGATCTTTTTTTAATACGTACAGAGATTTTATTATTTTGACGAACAATGAGAGAAAAAATCAATATGGACGTGTAGTGGCGCGTTGTTACCCCTGTGTTTCTCTCGGGATGTGTTTGATTTTTTGTATGGCAGACGGAGTGGGAGAGCGTTTCATGTGAACTGCTTTTGGGGCCAATTCCCGAGCCTTCCCGGAGCCCTTCCTAATAATTCCCATTCGACAAATGCCCGACAAACACTCGCACGGGATACCTATTGTTATGCGCGTCAGTGTAGTAGTGTAACAATATTGGGTCTGTTAAGCCACCGAGCGATTTTAATGAATAGGTTTTTTTTTGTTTTTAACTAATCATAAACTTCGTTTTACACCTTATAAATCAATAATTTGTACAGCGCATTATTGATGCTGCTAAAATCTGAACTAATCATTACTAGCCAGTTGAAATGTGTCGTAATCGATCATTTGTCAGCTTTCCACGATTCACACTTAAGCGTCGCCATAAATAGCTTAACAGATACTTAGTAGAGTCGAAAACCAATAAACACGCGAGTCAACAGCGCTCGAGTCGCCGTGTCTTATTCATTGGCGGCGCAGATGATTTACAAGGGTCCTTCCTTAGGTAAACTTCGTCCGACCTGCACTTCTTTTTATAGTTCAGTCTGGGCCTTTTTTCCTTTGCCGACCGAAATGTGTAGCCGACAAAAAAAAACGGCCTGTGTTCTGTATCCTGGTGCACTTTTTTGTAAAAGTGGTACCACATCCGAATAATCACTTACGACCCGCTCAAAATATTTGGGCTCTTCAATGCAAGCGGTTGGTCGAGGCATCTCCTTTGAGACAGTTCTCGGAACGTTCTTTTTATACACTTTATTTCTCAGCATTTATGTATGCTTATTAGACGTTGTTACTGCAATCTCGATCGACACACATCCCGTTTTGTCTCGTTTAAATATTGTTATAGCAAATTTAAGAAAATAATTTACAAAGTAAGTTTTTAATGCAATAGAATCCTGCATACTTATTTCTACTATGTCGTAACATAATGTCGATAGAACAAAGCACGTTTTTCACCATGCGAGAGACTGTTAAATAAATTAATATGAATGAGTGTGTCGCTATTTTAAGAAGCTGGAAGGTGTTTGGCATAGTATTGAAAGATAGACGGGAGAAACGCGTTGGAATTTTGATACAGAGGCTGTGGTTAATTTTAGATTGTTGCGCATACGCGTGGCGTTCTTAGCTAATTGGCGGTAAAGATACGTTATTATCGAATACCCTATCGAAAGAAATACATTAAGGGAGCACTAATTGGCAAAAATCAAACGTGAGTTGAATTTTTCGACGCAAATTACAACCCTTATTAAGCAACGGAGGTATTATCGAATGAATTTCGAAGGATCGATTTTCGGTGTAATAAGATGCGGCAAGTCTCTAAGGAATTCTTTGTCAAGAGTGATAGTTTTCGAACGCTATTTGTTATGAACGGATTTACACACTTTGAACTTTACCACATTATTGATATTGATCTGGCGATTGGCGCGTTGTTTATTGCATAGTTTACTTTTACTCGAAAATTGTTAAATAAGGCATTAATTGTGAGCCTCGTATAGATTACTATCGAGGTAGCGTGAAGCCGTGACGTGTACCGCCCCTGTGTTTCCAACGACAGTTGGTCACCCCTATTTAAATACCACTTCACATTGTGGCCTGCGAGCCCATTTGTATAGCATATACTTAATTGTATTATAGGTTTGATGTTATTGGAACGATATTATGCAGACGAAATAAAAGCGGACAAACAATGTTCGCAGAAAAATCTGCGATGTGTTTGACTTAAGTAAAGCCTTTGAATAAAATAAAAGCTTTGATACTATAGTAGGTTTTGGTCGACATTGGAAATTAGTAAAATTATTATCTTTGCACAATTCCTATCTTATACTCGTCAATTGACGTCCGAGGTCGGGAGAGAATGAATCATGCTTGAAGGAGCGAATTCCGGGGGTTACAAATGGAGGCGAGCTCTGGGGTGGCTCACACAATGAACGGGAAGGGTCGGTTCGCCGAGTCGCAAGCTTAGGGTAAGTGGGCACACTCGCGTCAATATGGGGCTTTATTACGACGCTTCTGATAATAATTTGCTTCCGCGCCGATCGGACTGCGCCTAAGCTTGTGGGAGCAATTTTATTTATTAGCAGTCTCTTAGTTTCGCATGTTATATTTATGGGATATATTGATTATATACAAATGAGAAATTGATGTTTATTTATAACGTTTGATAATGTAAATGTTCGACTTTGCCGAGCACGTGGTTTAATATTCAACGCATCCGCCCCCGACCGCTCCGTTCTTTGAAAAGTGACGCCTTTTTCCCACGATCACTTGAAGCTGCTACGAATCAGTAACTACATTCCTCACACGTGACGCGTTATATATGTATCTTTAACGCTTAACCAGGTAAAACTTATTCATTGTTCCCATTCAACGAATTATTTAAGGAGACTGTTTATAATGACTGTACCCTACCGCTACCCTTGAGCGGAGTAGACTTCCTGCGTTCTGTTCACACAATCTCGCTGGCGGACCCCGTTTTATTATTATTTACTTATTGGTATCGTATAAAAGGCGCGCTGCCATCAACAATGTCGTTTGTAAAGGTGACTACGAAACAAAGCCGTCGAGCGCCCTGACTTAGCACCTGCTCGATGTTTTTTAGCTGAATATAATTTAAAAAATTTTTTGAATTAATATATTTTATATCTTAAAACAGTTCGTGGTCTTACTTTTTCTTTCGCTTCTGTATTTGAAATTAGAATGATGTCAAACGAGATCCGATGGCGTTAAAATTTCATTTAATGAGCCTTTAACTATTTGATGCGCCCCGGTGTTAATAATTTGTTTGTTTGTGTTTATTGTACGAACTAAAGTGCAGTCACCGCTTGCATTCCCATCGCGCGCTAATGTGAGTGAGCAAAGTTGTGTGCGTGAGTGTGGCATCTTGTCGGTGTGCGTGCGTGGGGCGTTGGTGTGCGTGGCAGGCGCCGAAAGCGTCTGTGCGTGTGAATGGAGGAGCACATTTCATTTCTTTCATTATAATTGCAGCGATGCGCGCGGTCGCCAATGTCAGTTACTCGCGTACTTTAAAGTCAGCATTCGATCGTAAGGGAACCCTAACGTTCGCAAATGTACATACACATATTTTTTAAATGTTTAAATTATTGTTTACACCTTTAGCAATAGAAAATATAGTTTTACATTTTATTGCCCGCTGACTACGATAAGGTGGGCATAGGTAAGCGGGCACGTTTCAGCGTTTTGTTGAAATGTAAACAAACTTGTTCCGGATAAGATAAAAACAGTGAGCGCCTTAATAGCTGTACATTCTGACATTATGAATTTGTCGAGCGTAAGTGATTCGTATAAATTCGATATTAGTTAAAATATGATCGAAGGGCAAATATTTCTACGCTTACATATTTTATTAATTTTTGATTAAGAGCACTGTATTAATTTAAGTTAAGAGAACTAAATCTATGCCTATAATATGCAAGAAATTTTTTAAAATTTATGCACGATATTTCATTAAAAATACTCACCTATGCACGTTTACTCTGTAGCCTATGGTCCCTTGTAGAGGGTTGTGCTTGCCAGTATTGGGAGCCTGTGCTCCCGCGTATGTTATATTGTTCCCCACGTACCCAGCCGTATTAGCGGAGTTAGCCGTCCTGTCGATTCAAATGCGCCCCCTGAAACACCACGCATCCTGTTGTACTCTCGATAAATTCACGAACACTCCACGATTTTATATTATCCGTTATAATGCCGAAGCGAGTGTTTTTTGGCAGTGCGCGATTCAATTTTCTGTTATCGTTCGACTGGCGTTTTCGCTCGAACTGTCATTCGGATCGTCAACAGTCGACGAAACGTTCATCGTGGCGTCTTCTGTTCCAAATTTCTGGTCCATATTTGGCAGATGGCATTGTTAAATTTCGGACTTTAAATCTCTTAACACCAATGTAATTTAAGCTGAATCTCACTTTTTATATTTTATACGTGAAAACTAAAGACGAGGTTTAAAAGGCCCTATTTATATTATATTCAACGATTTTTTCACCTTAACTTTTTCGACGATGAACGTTTCATCTGTGTCGCTGTTACGATCAGCTGTGACAAATATTTAACTTCTACCCATCAATTTGCCGTATTTTTTGCCCTTGTTATTTAAACCCCTATTTCTCACTGATTTATTGTAATAAAAATGTAAGCTACTATAATAACACTATGTGCTGAAAACACACCTTAAAAACTATTGTTTGTTCTTGAATTTATTTTTATATCACAAGTTCCACTTTTTCTTAAAATAAGTTCTTCAAATAATTCAATCCAGAAATATTAAACAAAATCCAGTTATTCGCACTTGGCAATCCTTTTTGTTGGCCACTTCACTTTATTTACGTTAAAAAAATAAAATTGTCACTTAGCACAGTTCATAAAATATCCAAATCCGACATTAAGCTTGTGCACCTGTCACTGTGTTCCAGCATTTGATAATAATTTTATTATTATCGTTCACTCACGAATCCCACTGTGTATTTACCGAAACATCATAGACGTGTAGCGCGAGCGCCGACGCCGACGTCACTGACATCAAGCAACCACACATTCGACCGTCAAAGGTAACACTGGCTGGCGAGCCGGCGACGGTGAGTGAGAGGTTGCGCCGCGGGGCGCTCCCACCCCGCGCGACGTTGCCAGCCCGCCGCGATAAAGTGGCGCACCCCCGCGCGCCCCGCTCTACGTCGACGTCTCAGCTCAGCGCTCGGCCGCGCTCGGGCGCCGTCGTCAATGTACCCCGCTCCGCCCCGCACTCGACGTTTCACGTAACGGTCCTCAATCGAGCGCTTTACTTCGAGTGCGATTGTCGGAGTGCACGCTCGCCTCGTTTATGACCGCTTCGATGAATGCAACCGTTCAATATCGACACCATAACACTATTAGAATCTTATAATTTTCCACATACACATATTGCTTTAGTAAAAGCGTATTCCAGCCTCATAGTCAGGTAGATTTATGTATTTTATCGAATTTTTTTGCGGCATACACACGGACGGCGGCCGCGCTCGGCATTCGGCAAGCGTCTGTCTGCGTTCGGGCATAATAATTAACGGCGATAAACAATGGGCATGTCGTCCTCTGGTCGCTACCTGCGCATGACGATAGAGGACGAGTGACTCGTCCGACGACGTCCTCACTCGTCGTTACTGTTGTTTTGCGCACTTCTTGAAAAATAAAAAAAAAATACAATTTATGAAGGGAAATTAAAAACTTGTCGCCATGTAATATTTTCCGTTAATGAGATATTTTTTTATGAAATACAATTTATAAATAATCATAATTGTGACCATTACCAACAAAGGTCCAGCCGGTTTCAAGATTCGCGCTAACTTCTGTGGGCTCTTATTAAATTGATTTACCAAAAATTTTGTGCTGTTTGTAGCGATGATACTATCCTTATTAAATAAACAAAGTCGTTTAATTACGAAATGGGGAAAATAAAAAGGGAAAATAAAATAAAAATAAAAATTCGTGGAAAGCAATCAATTCATTATATTATGGCCGATATCGGGTTCATAATATATTTCGTTAGTCGCTTTGCGTTGGTCCGTCAGCTGGAAAGTCGGGAAAGCGGCGGCGCACGCGCAATCGCGCCTCGTCCGCGTTCCGATGTGACGCCAGTGTCAATGTGGCGTATTCGAATTATGAAAAAATAACATTTGTGAGTTTGGATTATGTATTTTAATAAAAACGGAAAATTAAAAGATTGTGTTCGTGTTGGTTATGTATGAAATCAATTTTGGAACTGCTGTTTTAATATAATTAAGCATTTTATGATAACCGTATTTGTTTCACTTGTTTCGTTGAAAGATTCTCCCATATGTGATTTCCAAAGGGTGACAGATAAGAACAGATTACGTAACAGCTACCTGCATCATACATAAATATGTTAAAATACGGACGTTGTCATTTAAAATATCGCAGATTTAATGAAAACGTGGTTCGTTCGACTTCCTCCTGCAATGCTGAAATCTTATCAATACAGATAATATTTATGACGTTGAATGGTTCGTGATAATGCATTATCCACATAAAAGCACGTAGCACTTCCTCTACATACGGGCTTGTAATAAATGCTTGTGTATTGGAAGACCTTACGTGATGTTGAGGACATTTCAACAAAAATGTAAAATAGATAAGCAGATAAGTGAATTGCGTTCTAGAAAAAGAATCGAACGTACGTAATTTGTTGCTTTCATTTTATTAATTTTTCCTAACCTTGAAATTTTGAAGGTCGAGGCAAGAATGTGCCATTTTTGTTATTCGACATCGCACAGGTTGGACAAAATTTATGTTTGTCGATGGGCCTGAATATTAAAAAATTTAAATGTATAGTTTTAAATAATCCTTATAAGGTCCACAGACGAATGATGAAACATACGAAATTAGTTCAATTATTTTATTCAATAGGTTACATTTCATATGAAAATAATGAAATCGTTTTTATAAATATAAAATAATATAAATAGAAACCGCAAGAGTTGACGTTCAAATGTTATAGCAGTTAAAATTTCCACTGATAACAACTTACTCATATGCATTTGCTTATTTATATTTTGTATTGTGTTTTACTTATGCGATTTATTTGTTTTTTTTTTCTTTTATATAATATCATAAATGCCTGTAACTATGTTACTGCTTATGAATTGTTGATAATCGGTTCACGTTATGTTAAATTATTAGCGTCGCTCATAGAGTACAACAAAACCCGCCAGGTTTCAGTTGGCTAACCAACCTTCAAAAGCGTGGACCCTAGTAACTCTCTCACCAGGCGTAATTGAAGAATGTAATCATTTATTTTTTAATAGCGGTTTTCGTGAAACCGTGCTCCTCCCTCGGGTGACCCTGCCCATTAACTCAAAAGTCGGAGACGCGTTGCTCTACCACAGTATACTTCTAGAGAAGGTAGTAGATCGAAATAGAGCGTGTGCACCCACTATAGTTTTTACGACTGACGCGTCAGTCCCGGGCGATTGCATTGCAAAACCGCGCTGACGCGAGGCAAACACGCGGCCGTGATTTACGACCGGTGTCGACGAGGAAAAACTGACTTTAATTCGTCGCTTTCGACGCTTTGATGATGAGCTATTGTCGACCGGGTACGCGGTGCTGGACACTAACGGCCTCGCGGCTTCCTCGTTGCCGCCGAACGGCGTAGCGCGAACTGTACACGGAAGCTGCCACCGCCATTTTCAGACGACACTGAGGTTCCATAGGTTTCGGCTGCTCGGATGCAACGATGATAAGGTCCCCTTACCTTAAACCATCAACCGAACCGTCAAGCAGTGGGCTATATTGTTATAGCGGCGACGGAAATACATCATCTGTGAAAATTTCAACTGTCTAACTATCCCAGAAACGTAGTTTCTTTCGCCGGTTCTTCTCAGGTCAGTGACTTTTCTTCCCGAACCGGTGGTAGGTAGCGTCTTGACAATCAATAATAATAATTTTGAACAAAAAAAACCGACTTCAAACAGAAAACTAAAAAAGACAATGTCAACCTTATAATATTTGAGGATTGCCCTCGATTTATCTGGGACGCCATCATCAGATCTGGATTTCCTTATCATGGTACCACCTTGGGATATCTCCTTTCCACCTTAAATTTGAATCCTAAATTGTGAATACGAGATCGAAATATTTTTCTTAGTTCATTAATTCCAGAGTATTGCCGTCGCAGACATCTCCAAATGTAGAGATTTCTTCGTAAGCTTCAAGACAATATAAAAGTAGAATATTATTCCTCTAATAAAATATTATCAGATGAAAAAGATGCATTTGCAATTTTCCTCAACCCTAACGGCCTTCGGTTATAAGTTTCCTTAATTATTTCGCCTTGATCACGAAAGAATATACCACAATTTTAAAGACCGTTGTAGCTACGTTTACTTATGATAAAAAAAATGCGACCATGTTGTTTGGTCAGTGTCTACATTTGTTTATTTTACCAAATTTTACATTATCACGTCTGTCTCTTTATAAGGTAGCCAAAGAATCGTCGATACCGTGAATTATGAAGTATTGATGTAAGGTAAACAAGTGTATCTACCTCTTAATGTTTGTTTATAGCGTCTTATATAAGCGGATGCAATAACTATGGAAAATCCTGTTTATTACTGAATTAAAAGTGACTCTATAATAATAACCAAGAAAAAAAGCAGAGGCCCATAAATACATACTTGTTTAATGAGTTTTATGTATACCGTAGATGATTGTAAAATCGAGATAGAACAGTAAAATATATTTAAATTATGATAAACACACCGTTCAACATACTAGGAAGAAAGTGTAACGTTGTAACTACACAACGTTACACTTTCTTCCTGGGTAGTTAATGAAATCTATCCCAATTTTACATAAGCGAAGTAACCGGTACCCAAATTCAACACAATCGCTGGAAAACATTATTCGAAAAATCGCGATATCAAAGGCAAAGAATATTAGGTACTTGTGAACAATCTTAGTTATCAAGTATTTACCAGTGGTCATGATGCCCTAATGACGTAGTTTATTATTAAGATCCGTAAAGAGTCAAGTAAATGCCTTCGACACATGTAACAGTATGATAAGACTTAGTCCATATAAGCTTTGAAAAATTGAGCTCTAACGTTTTAACTGTGGTGGAGCCCCGCAACAGCTGTTGTTGCACGAATGGACAGGTTCGTGCGGGAAAGTACCACGACCTTACAGAAGACTGGTGTGAAGTAGAAGTTTTATACTTTTTCATTTCGTCTGGTGAAATGGCTGGAGCCCATTTTATTAAAGGTGGCAACGCATTTACAACTCTACTGGTGTTGCCAAGTGAACCATTCTGTGTCCAAACGCGCAATACGCGTTTCTTTTTTCGTGGTTATTCAGTGTTCTGGCTTCTGCTTTTAATTCAGTATTATGGAACAATCTTAGTTCAAATGCCCTTAAGATTATTAATTACAAGGAACACATATTATATAAAAAACAATACTTACCTAATCCGAAGACGTAAGGTCCTCACTGGAGTCTTGAGGCAATAGGAGGTCCAGTTGCCCTCCTAACAGTTAATTTAACCACTTACCATCGCCTCGATTAAAGCGTCCACGTGAAATTCAAATAGTGATAAATGATATTAGAGCGGTCGTAAGTGCGGTGAGTCGAGCGCACGTCGGCTACGCCAGATATGCACCTCCCTTTTGCGAAAACCTGTTTCGCGCTTCGCTCGGGAAATATGTCGCCGTGCGCGTGGCAACCGCCTCGTTTCCATCACTGTTTCGTTACGGCAAATTATTTGCGTCTTTTTTTTTACGCAATGGCCCTGTTTACGCGCGTAAGAGATACAGATGCCTGCTGGCGTCGCGGCAGCTGCCGGTTAGTTTCGACGAATTAGTTTCGTCAACATATCGATTCTTAGAACGTAAAATGTTGTTTATTTTTACTACTACTAATACGAAGGTTTTAAGTATGGTGGACGATCACTACTGTCCATGGAAATTTGTGTTACCAATAGTATTGTAGGTGGGGTAACTCCTTAACGAAATGCAAAATCATTATGCCATTCTAATCTTCCTTATTTGTCCAATACTCTTGAAGCGGGCTATGCTCGGTATTTCTCTGCGTGATAGAAATCGCAACGAAGATATCCGCAGTAGGACAGAGGTAACCAACTTAGCTCTGAGGATTAGCAAGCTGAAGTAGTGACGTGCCGGCCATATAGCTCGTAAAACTTATAACCGATGGGGAAGAAAAGTTATTGAGTGTCAGTCTCATACTGGCCATCGCAGTGTAGGACGACTCTCGACTAGATGGAGTGAAGACATGTGCAAATGTGCGGGAAGTCGATCGAGTTGGCTCAGGATCGTAATTCGTGGCAGTCTATGGGGGAGATCTATATACAGCAGTGGATTCAAGCAGGCTGAAATGATGATGATGACATTTGAAAATTAAAATTTAATTTACGGGAATAACATTGCGAAGAAAAATAATGATACCTATCCATAAATAAAATGATTTTAAATATTGTTATTCGATTTACACTTTTAAGTATCGGGTGAAGATCAACTAATAAATTGTAATGCATCCTGTATTAAAAGAACCTTGAAGTTTATACAATTCGATTAAAAATAAATAATAAATTTCATGAACATATATAAATATGTGCTGATGACCATATTAAAAATTTTCTAGACCACAGTTATAAATACATTATTGTTAATATCGTTATCAGTGTGAAACGAAACTGTTATCTGTGTTTTATTGATTTATCGCGTTTACGTCCCTTTAATGTGTGTGTGAATACGTACTTATGGGAAATGAACGTGCAACTAATCGTTATTATTCATTATATGTTTATGGCAATTCTATTCTCAATACCTACATCGGTCAATTTATCCTGTAGCAATTCTGGTAAAATGTTGAAATTTCACTACAAGAGGAACTTTGTTAAATTCAAAGTTTTCATTGTCCATCTAAAAATAAGATTACTAGGTAACAAACAAACAACAATGGCAACTTAACCTGTTTTTTTATGTTATAACCCTTAAGAAAAGGGACGTTTTTAGTGATAATCATAGTCATATTGACAAGGAATGGTTATAATTATATAGTAAAGAATATCGACAAGAACAAATTTAATGACCCTGAGATAATAATTTTGATGAACCTGTGGCGCAGTTGCTAAGGTATTGGCTTCGGCGTCGGGTGTCGTGGGTTCGATCCCCACACGAGACAACTATTTGTGCGACCCTCAGATAGTTGTTTAGCATCTGGGTGTTTGTCCGCGTGAAATTTATGTTTGTAAAACGTCCTTACAACACAGGATAATATTATCCTAAAATAAGGGCAATGGTTTTTTAAAAAGAAAAGGATAAATATAAAATTTAAAAATATATTTTGTATATAATTGTAGGATTATTCCATTAAGCACAATCGCAAGGTAACAATGAGTTACCATTCGTTCATTATCACAGCTAGAATCTACGTTTGTTTACACTTCTGATACCAATCTAATACGACGTGAGATGAAGAAGCAAAATCGCGTAATATTACCTAGTTATGTAGTTTGTGTTCTTTACTGTCGCGTTACTAAATATTGGAGACAGTTTGTTTTTATAATCTGTTAAATTTAACGCTCGCCTGTAAGCGTAATGGCCACTTGCCACTCATCTTTTATATTAGAAGTCGCAAATCCTACATGAAACGTATTAAATTAATTATTTATTTAAGGCCAATTTATAAAATATAAATATAATATGTTTTATATATTGCATTAATCATGAGAATTTATTTAATGTTGTAAAAACAGACATTTTTAAATTTATATTCCGCTATAATAGTGGGGAACTTATTTTAAAAACTTGGAGGTTTTTAAAATTTTTATATGTATGTTCTGTTGTATTGCTTCAGTCTTCTAACAGCAATTATTTACTTGTTACAAATTACAAATTACTTTTTTATACGAAAAACTCCAAATTACATGACATTGAGTTTCATGATCAATTTTTTTTGAAGTAAAATCACAACTGTTAGTATTTACAAATTTGAAGTCTATATTCAAGGTGAGCCGAAAACAAGTACATTATTTTACACGTTTATTATATGAAAAAAAAAAAACACCAGGGCCAATTCAGTTCCGTAAACGAAGTAAGTTACCTTCATTGTTGTAACGAGATCATATGTCATTTGTGACGATAGAACAGATGCTATAATTTATGATACAAAAATCCATAGCGACACAATAAATAACTTGTAATAATTAATAAGTTAAAAGTATTCGACGTAAACTTTTTTAAAACGTTTCATGGTCTGCATGGATTGCTTTTTCATTTATATTCAAGGGTTTTTAAGAGTATTAATAAAAAAATATTTTCATAATATGATTCAGCCTGAGGGGAAGGTAGCATAGTGCTAAAACATTATAAATCTAGTTCACGACGTGGTATATTTAATTAAATGTGATATTGAAATGTATAAATTTTTATTAATTTAATTTTATTTCGTAGTGCTAGTCTCTAATTCTAATAAGTAGACAATTGAAATTTCAATTCGATTTAAATAAACTCATCGGGTCACTGATGAGTGATTTATCATCTCTTATAATTATTAGACATACCATGAAGAGTACAAATAATTATGGTAGTTTGTGGTGCAGCCGGTACATCTTTCAGGGCCAAATTGAAAAAAATACATAAGAGAATATAGAAGACAACATATGAATGCGGTATGGTAACAGCCCAATGAGCCGGTTTTACTCTAGTGAAAACGCCGCTTTACTAACTGGGTGATGATTTCCATTCTTCGCGCTTGAGAAAGTTGGACAGATGTATGTAAACACAACTCATTCTTCTTTCAACTGCAGTACAGGCCAATTTTTAAAATTAATGACTGTGACAGGGAAACAAAATGGGTAACTGGGTTCATTGCAATTTGAACTCATTCTTCCATTTAGACAGTAAATAGTTTTATCACTACATCTGTAAAAGTAAGCTATTCAACGATTTACTCGTTTCAGTGTAGTCAAATTTATCACGTTACAATTACTGCTTCATCATTATAGCGTAAACATAAGTTTAAAAGTGAAAACGTATCGCATTTCAATTGTCGCAATTAAAATTTAATTAATGCGTGTTTGGAGCGACGAAAGGTACATCGTCGCTCCCAAAGGTAAGAGGGAACGGACAATGATGCGCGCGAAAGGGTTAAGTTTTTCACGAAAATAAAGGCCGAGGAACGGGCACAATGACTCAGATGGAATTCAGCGGGCCCCGCCATACTGAGCTTCGTCGGAATCAGAAATACAATCCTAATTATAATCGCACGCATCCGTCGAGTACCTCAATCGGTTGGGCGCCTCGGCCGAAACGCGCGGGCGCTAAACGCTCCGCCACTCTTGGAGCCTTGTGCAGGAATTCCCCATCGCCAGGTGCGCCAATGTACTTTCTGTACGGAGATGAGATGGTAGTTAGCGTCAATGTCGGCCTTCACATATTTATTACTACCGACTAATACGTAAATACCGCCGTTCTTACGAAAGCCAGGAAGTGAATTCGGTGCAGAGCGTATAGCTGTAAACGGATCTTCAAATGTTCTAGATTTGCTATTATGTTTTATTGATTGAATGAACTGCTACTAATGGCACAACATGACAAAGTTAGCGGAAATACGGTGAGACATTACAACAACGAAACTTCCAGTACGCTTCGCACTTCAGGAGCGAATCACTACAAAACAATTACATTGCGTTTTTAATAATAACCTAGCCGTATCATCAGGTTGTCTCGGCGTTCGGCCGCCTCAAATATTTCCAGTGTGCGTCGAATTTATAAATAAAGTGGCAGTATTAGCAAGTGGAGAGTGGCTCGTAATATGTATGTACATAGAAGCAACATTGCCGCATTGCGGTGGGCCGGCCATGTGTCGACACATTGCTTCTGCCCTTTACTGCCGCGAACCACTCGAATACCTTTCGGACTAGACGGCTTCTCGTTATTAGTTTTTCGAATTAAATTATAATATAGGCGCAGGTCATTACATAAAAAACAAACACTAATGAAGTGAATCTATCCTGTTGTATATACTAATTGGACAGTGGTTTTAATTTATAACTTGATTTTTTGTAATATGTATACACGGTATGTAAATTTCAAATAATAATAAAAATAAATTAGCATTCACAAAGAAAGCCAGCAGATGTTTTGTAGTAATTCCGCGTATTGATTAACCACGAGCAACAAAATACCCGAGCCGTCTGTCGAAATGTCCTTTTTACCTGCCCTAATTAGTTTTAACTGTTACAACTGACTCATTGCGTATTCAATAGTGAATATCACTTATCACCCGCGGCAAGTGGACTCCTGGGTCAGGTAGGCCGTTCTGCTATGAGTTCACAACGGGAGCGTCAAGTCGTATAAAAGAATACAAAATGAGAATTGTTTTGGTTCCCGCCTCGGACGGCTGCGCATCGAGTTTGTAATACATTAGTCGGGCGTTGATTTACACGGCCACGTATCGTGGGCGCTTCTATTCATAGTTCTAATGCACTAAATATAGTACCCATACCTTATTATTTCCCGAGACTGACTCACGACTCGGGGTTCCGCTTTAAACTGATAGGTTTTTGAGTTTACGGTAGGGGAAATATTGGCTTTGATTGAAAGTATATGCAATTTATATCTTTCTTGCTTCTCTTTGTTATATAATGGACGAGGCAATCTATTAGAATAAACTTAATTTGCCATTTATAATAATTTTATGTACATTAGACTACCTATGCGTAAATTGAAAAAATTGTATACTTTACTAGAACTAATCATTACATTGTTTAACTATGCTATGTATTGTGAGAAATAAAATAAATTATAATGCGTAATATACAGCGCAGTAAAGAATGAAATAAAAATCGTGTTAAAGTGCAAAGATAACAATGTCAAACAGGAGCAATAGGTACGCTGAGATATAAAATATTTGATTTATCAATTTTAGGGAGAAATTCTCAGAATTATCGTAAATAGACTGGTATGTAGAAACGTATTGGAAGCAGAATGGAGAGGTGGCGGCGTTCGCGCACATCTGCCATGTGATGCCAGCGCCAGCGCTGTCCGCGCGTGGCAACCATTGCACCAGCCTCGAGTCTCAAGCCACAAGCGACAGCGGGGAACACAAATTAATTACTTTTTTGTAATTTTTGATGAATCCATGGCGCAGTTGCCAAGGTATTGGCTTCGGCGTCGGGGTTCGTGGGTTCGATCCCCACACGGGACAACTATTTGAGTGACCCACAGATAGTTTTTTCGCATCTGGGTGTTTGTCCGCGTGTAATTTATGTTTGTAAAACGTCCTTCCAACACAGGATAATGTTATCCTAAAGTAAGGGCAATGTTTTTAAAAAGAAAAGAAAGAAATTTTGAATCGATTAATTCGTTAACACATAGATACTTAGGAATTCAATTAAGAGAACAGTTATCAACCTCAGTAAAGGTATTTGATAGAACTAAAAGTATAATATAATTAACGTTAAGTAATATTGAACAAGGCTTTTCATAAACATTATATGTTGGTACGTTACGCATAAAGAGCAGGCTGAGTATATCACATTGATTCTACCGGATCGTCCGTGACTTGCGCCTCTTGAGTGTGAGTTGGGGCGAGGCTAATTATAATCGGCTAAACATCATCGAGTGCTCGTAACTTAGGGTCGCACCTCGTGCATGTATTTTTAAATATGCTTTTTCCACACTCACTTTCTCGGCGTGAAGTTAAGCGCCTTGTTAAATAATAGACGGTTATTCACGATATTAAACTTCCTCCAGTAAAGTTAACATAGTGGAGTTTGACATTCCTCAGTACCTCTATGACTTAATATCAACCTCGACCATTGTTCTGATATTTGTATGTTGTGTATGCCGAAGCGGAAATCCTGTTTGGACTTCGCATTGAAGATTTATTAACGTTAAAACATTACAGCTTGTTAAGTTTTACCTTGTATATGACAATTCGATTTTTGACATTTTAAGGATAGAACAACGAGGTCATTAGCTAATATGAAATGATAGACTGTTGACTTGACGATAAGAATCATGCGGTTAAATGCGTAAATGTTAAATAAGTCGTACGTTAGTATAATTAATCTACCTACCCGTGTTCCACTTAGCCAACGCGTTGGGTCGCTGCCAGTCTTTCTAAAAACCATACTCGTTTGCGCTAAAATCTTTCTATAATAATAATACTTGATTCTATGTCGAAACAAGACACGTACTATAGTTGTGTTTGATTTTTAACAGCTCTAGAATGGACAGCTGATATTTATGAAGATCGACCAATTTTGTTTATTTGCTTTGGACAATATTGCCTCTCTTTATTATATTATGTTATAGCTTCTATTCAGAGCTTTATATTCAGAGGTATTAAATACGTTAGCTGATTTCTAACCATTCAGGTCCTTAACACGCTTTTTTTTATAAAATGGTTGTCTTTTTTTTAAATACTCGAATCTTAAAACTAGGTATAGTTTCGAATTTTTAATTTGATTATTATCGTCGTAATGATGAAAAGAGTGATCTGAATCATAAGGTTACGCAATAAGAAGCTAAAAAATTTTTTTGAAAACTAATTTTTCCTGCTACAACAGGGAATAAATCTTTGAGAATAAACACTTCAAAGTTAAATCGTTCAAAATTTATCTTCTACGCTTGTTATATTCTGGCTACGATACTAAAAGGCCAGTAAGAAATTTACGTCGTACTTGAAGTTTTTAGTCTCTCTGCGGCATATGCGAATTTGTTAAGTCCGTTATAATAATTCCGGCCCGAGGACTGGATCGTATATTATTCTCGGGAAACATATCACCTTGTCTTCGGGTAGGTAGCTGAGCAGTGGCAATTAAAAAACCGAAAAGACCACGGATTCCGCGGCGGATTTCAAGAAATATCGACGGGGTCGACGACCCGTGTCGACGCATCATGTCCGCGTCTTCGCGCTTTAATTTTATTTTGCAGTCGTGCAGTGCACATCTTATTCTCGATGTTACCGCTATGGCAGACTTAATTGAAACAAGCTACAGTGATAATAGACGCTTATCTTGTTTATAACATAGCTGTCAAGTGATATCAATATAATTTATAAATTCTGATCTCCGAAGAGGTTTAGGGAATTCTATACGTACTTTTATTCAATTAGATTGTTTCCACCTTTGACTCCTTAAAGCTTCGCACTCTGTACTACATTGATTATTCTATTTTAGTTTTTAAAATATGACAGACACTATCATTGATTCGGTGAGTTTATTCTTTTTTAAATATATTGTATAATGCTTACCTAACTAAACATTTGCTTTACTTGTTGAACGTTTAGTGATAATAATCGCCATAAAAATGTCTTCTAGAATTTGGTTATTTTGAAACACTTACACGTATTAGTTACTGGCTGCTCCCCGCGACTACGTCTGCGTAGAAAAGGCTTAAGGCGTAACATTCAAAGACAGATATACATAAATTATATATGGCCTATGTTTTATTCTGATATATAATCTATATTATTATAAAGTTTCATTAAAATCCATACAGTAGTATTTGCGTGAAAGAGTAACAAACATCCATCCATACATACAAACTTTCGCCTTTATAATATTAGTAAGGATTAGTAAGGATTATTGGCTGCGGGCACAAGCTTTCACAAAGGCTTCAGAACAAGAGCGAATGAATTTCTTCTTTGAGATGTTGTGATAGAATTCCATCGTTCTTTGGTAAACATCTCATTTGGTACGTGGGTGACTCTGAAAGTTCTTAGAAAATCATAAAACGGCTCAATGTAGAAAATTGCCAATCTTTTTATTGCCTCTGTTTCTCTCTATACATCTTCGCATTCGATGTTGCCACTGAGATAAGCAGTCAACCCAGTCTACCTTAGGGGTCTCAAAAGTATGTTCGAAGGCACTCGCCGCATCTTCATGCCTCGACAAACGAACACTTGGGGATAAATGAAAGTGACAGGGTGATTCATTATCTCGACACCTGTCATAGTCAAATATTTATTTTGTCTTTTCGCGAGGTGTGATCCTGCTTCGAGGTAGCTGCCGAAAACATTTAAAGGACAACAGGCAAACAACAGTAAAAATAGCAGTCTGTTATCACTGTCTTCGTCTATTCTCTATCTTCAACAACTTTTGCGAAATCAACTTATTAACCAACGAATGAGGCAAGAATCTTTTTTCCTTGATTTCCTCCCTTTTTTACATTACTTGGCCCTGTCTTACGCACCCTAGCAAACAGCCACGGAGCAGATTGTCTTTTTGTTTTGGGTTCGTGGCAATTTATCCAGCTTTCATTACTTGTAACGATATCACGGTAATGTTTCTAACTGGCTAGAACTAAAAATTTTCAGTGTCGCCTCAGCAAACAAAGAGAAGGGCAATGTTAGTTCGACGGTAATTATTATTAAATGCAAGTGCCAGCATACTGTTCAATTTCCCTGGTATCTTCTTTGCTAATTTCAAATATTCAACTATAAGATTCCGTAATATGGAACATAAATGTTAAATAATGCTTAAATCATATTCCACGATACTTTTAAGAGTATTTTTACAGCGTTCTTGATGGGACTTGCCCATTCGTCCCGCAGCAAGCAGCAGGCTGGTTAAGAAAGTACCAGGGTTTAAGGGAAGTCCAGAGTAGAATGGATGTATTATACTTACTTCTCTATTTAAGTCAGACGAGTAAGGTAACCAGTGCTTTCCTTTTAATAGTTAGTTAACTCGACGAGTGTTGTCCGCTCTAAGCACTTAAATTAGATTAACTGCCTGCTCACATGCAATTTGTAACATAAAGTTTATACAACAAGTAGTTTATGTGTGTCCAGCATTGATTTAAGATGATACTTATTAAAAAACGAACCTGTAAATAATTTTCGAACTGGTTTAA